GTAATTGATTGACAAAACTTGGTAACTGGGTAATAAAAACCACACATGGTCTTCTGATCCATCTATGTGACCAAACCTACACACAAACCTGCATTTCCTCTTTTTTTTTTCTCCTTTTGTCCTCTGTCATCATAGCAAAACCCAAGAGGAGGCTAAGACCAAACTCCCTTTGATTTCCAAGAATTGTCCTCTCCTTGTTTTCAACATCACTTGTAATATTTTGTTTCCCAATGCTGTGGTGTTCTCAAGGAATGTAAACTTTTCAAAGTATTGCTTTTAGTTGGATTTGATTTACTTACACTTTTTAAAAAATGTCAACTATAGTTAAAGTATGATTATTCTTTTCGCAGTAATCCAACTGTTTCTCTCCATCCAAACATGTATAATGTTATCTCTGAGTGAGCAACAGGACAACCATCAACAAGGTAGACAGTGGAGGAAGGATACAGAACAAAAGCGTGATTTAGTTTTTTATTACAGCTTTACACACCTGAATTAATTAAATATTAAGAAAACATCAAAACACACAGTAAAAACATGCATCTATTGAAACCCCTAAAGTTTCTTTCTATAATAAGAAGCAAGCCTGACACATGATAACAAGTCATCTGCCAACTACAGCTGTGTGGATGTTTGCTAATTGTTATATATTTACCCAAAAGTGCACTTGTGAACTCTGATGCTGTCATAGTTGATTCTCAGTCCCATTCTATCCTTTCTAAAAGTCTTCAAGAATTACTATTATTTTTCCCCTCACAGCTCAATGAAGAAAATAATTACATTTAAAGTTTGCAGTTAAAAGTAATGCATGTACTACGATGTGATCTATAACCCATTTTATATCAATGATTTATTTATTTTAACTAACTACGAAAAAAGAAAGTTTAATTCCTTTGTCAGTTCCAATCAGCCGGATCTCTGCGTGACTCATTCCGACACTCATCCGACAACATTTTCATTCTCGCAAGGAACGCTAGGAACGCGGCATTAGCCGGATTAAAAAAAAAGAAGTCTTTTGACCATCCCGTTGTCACAAAGGGGTCACAACCTAGTAGCAAGATTTTACCTGTTAAGCGAGAGTGAGTTTATCACCTTTAGACTGGGTGCCAATAACCTTTTTTTACGTAAATTAAATGAAACATTGAGACACGAACAGAACTCGCTCATTTATGAAACTGCCTTTAGTTACAGAAAGAATAAGCAAGGAAAAAACTGTTTGACTCACCTGCAGACACAGAAATTAGTGACAAAAACAGGATAAATCTCACAGAAGCCATCTGTGACAAGCCAGAGGAAGAAGATTATAGCAGACCTGACCTGAACAGAAAGAAGCAGCTCCAGACCTGCCTACCAGTCCTTATAGTGAGGGTGGGTCACTTTAAAAACGAAACTATTTGAAACTACAGTCACACCGGAAAGTAGAACCATATATAATCCTCACTTTAAAAATGCAGTACAATGAAGAATGTATGACATTTCAAACAGAAAAAAGTCAACAAATCAATAGAAAAAAAACCCAAAAAACTTTGATTTCCGATTTTCTTTTTAGACTTTTAAATGTGACAGTTCACCAGTGGGTTAACAGGAAGCTCAACTGAATTCCTCCCCCTTCCCCCATCAGAACAGAAAAAAAAATCATTTTCGGGTGAAATAAATCTGCTTTTGTTGATTATGATTTAATGAAACAAATATATAAATAATTAAATGTCCATTGATGTTCTCATTAATTATGTATTAATTTAATTCGTTTTGGCACCCATGTTTGGTCCTGATGCCTTCAAGTCGTGAACTGCAGCTGCTAGAATGCAGCTCAGGAAAGTATTCAGTTACATGTAGAGGATCTTTATCACCGATAACTTTCAATCAGTAAGGGCTAGACAGAGACTAAAGGGATCCAGTCCAGGTTTCTTTCATTCTTGATCGGCGTCAGACCTGAACGCACGGAGCAGCCGATCCAAATTAAAGTTCCAGCTCTTATTTATTCACATCTGAAATAATTGGCGCACTGAGTGTTCATAGCTGCTGCTGGTCTCATGTCTAATTTATATGTAAGCTGTCCTCACTCTGATTCAGGCGGTGCCCAAATAGTGTGTTACAGGCGGAGGAAGAGGAAAGCAAAACACCCACTTTTTATGTGAGCGTGCACAAACAGACACAGACAAACAGCCAACAAACAAAAAGAAAAAAGAAAGACTTCGTGTCAGTAACTGTTTTTGTGCAGTGAGGCCACGAGGTCCACTTACAGACGCGTTCATATGATAAATGAAGAAAGCTCCTGTATGACACTGATGGAGTCAAAATGAGTTAACGCTCACCTGCAGTCACGGTGAGCCCAGCAGAGACATTTCCGCCTCATTGTTCTGCTGACCCGACTCTTCAAGCTGGCAAAATATCCAAGGCTGGTGAGATTTCATGGGAACAGAACATCCCTTATCCCTTCATCCTAATTCTGATCCGGACGATGTCGAAGTTCGATTTGAAAATAAAACTCCCGAGTGTCATGACAGGTGGGTTGGTTTGTTTGTTTGTTCTCAGCTTCGCGCTCCGACGACTGTTTTTGTCTTGAGGACGAACAAAAACAGTCTGTGGGTGGGATCAGAAACACGTGCGTAATAACGAAGAAGGTCACGTTACTCAAATAAACGTCTGGCGGGCTTCGCGTTTGACAGCTGATCAACAACAAACCTGATCATTAATCAATAATCAGTCATATCAAAACCATCACAGAAGCTTTTTAATAGAATCAAAAGGATTCACGATCATCTTTACGTGAATCTCTGTAACTTTTAACCTTTATATAGACTGCACAGCATTTCTATTTCACCTCAGGCTCCTACTGCAAGTTCCTGTAAGAGCTTCACAATAAAACCCTAGGTCAGGCATCCAATCGAAGTGTTCGTGCAAAGGCTTTTAATTTGTAACAGATGCAGGAAGTGATGTGTTTAGACAAAAGAGGATTTAGCTTGTAGCTACTTTCAGCTGCTCAAAAATAAAACTGAATTATATGAAGTCAGTTTCTGTTTATGTGCTTTTTTCCTTCAGAGCTGTTCTCTTGTTATCCAAAAATAATCAAAGCACTTTAAATATCAACACAACAGCTTTAACTTTTTGTGTGAAAGTACTCAAACTACACCAGTGCTTGAATCTGATTTCTCACTTTGAGGGGAAGTGAAATGTGACCCATCAGCAGTGGCGGTACCTGTTTGGCGCCCTGCGTGAACTCTCCCTCTGGCACTGACAGATGCAAACAGACTAAATAACCTGATCCACAAGGCCAGTAATGTTGTGGGGATGGAGCTGGACTCTGTTAGGGTGGTGTCTGAGAGGCAGATGTTGTCCAAGATAAAGATAATGTTGTATAATACCTCCCACCCACTCCATGACATGCTGGTCAGTCACAGGAGCTCGTTCAGTGAGAGGGTGAAATTACCAAAAAGCACCACTGAACGACACAGGAAATCATTCCTGCCTGTGGCCATCTCCCTGTACAACTCCTCCATCTAACACGCTGTAAACACTGCAATAGTTACACCCTTTTTACACACGCTCTTTTCTACTCTGGAATATTCTTGACAATTTTCTTGATAGTTATTTATAATCACCTCTGTTAATCCTTGATATTTATAATTCAGTGATCTCTACACAATAGTGCTATTTCTTAAATGTGTAAAATCTGTAACATAATGTATTGTTTGGAGTTTAGTCTGTTACTGTTACTATTTTTACCATTTCTTCTTGGAGCAACTGTAATCCACATAATTTCCTTAGGGATTAATAAAGTATTCTGATTCTGATCGTTTCAGGATGACCTGCCATTATCCAATCACACATCTGCTTACCTGTATCTTTTGCTCGTTTCTCCTCCTCTTCTTTTCTCTTTTTTCTAAACTGAGCTCCTGATGGCTTTGAACTTTTCTTGTCCGTCTTCCACTGGTTTTAATTTTGCACTCCAGTATGAACACCCACCTCCCAACCCGAGGATCACCACAACATAACCTAACACACCTACACCTTAATTCACAGATTCATTTTGTCTAAGGTTTATTTCTGGGATTTCGCACAACCCAGGATTCAAATCATGAATACATAATGGGCTTGGATTTACATCATTATGAATGAAATGTGCTCTATTTGGAAGCAGCCGGCCCCCCTCCCCTTTCGACGGGTTGTGTGTGAGACTTTAAATCATCAAACTGTATTGTTTGTTTACTTGCACTGCTGTAAGCCTCGTCGTCTCGTCTCTCTATATACTGGACTGTACGGAGATGACAATAAAGTTTACTTTGACTTCAGCAGCAAGCAACCACGATGCCGCCCTGGGCGACCGCCCATGTCGCCCATATCAAAAACCACTACTGCCCGTCAGCACTGCAGCTGTACTGCAAACACTTCAGTTTGTTCGGGATTCTTTGGCTGTGCTGGTTATTCTGATGTCACTTTCGCAGAGCTGCAGATTGATGCTTTAACACTTTCAAGCCTCCAGGTGGCAGCAGAGCAACTTGAGCGACAACTAGGATCATCATAGACACAAATATTCAAACATCATCATCATCATAAAATCTGTCACACACCATCTAGGAGTCTTTTTTTTTAACTGAGGAAGGAAAAAAAGGCGGTTTGTTCTCAATCTGTTACTGCAGGGAAACACAAAGAGTGCAGGAGGAAGTTCAATCATGCAGAATATGAATCATTACAGGTCACCTCAGTGTGAATATAAAGCAGCTGACACAGAGTGGATTAGGATCTGGTGTTGTTCATGAACTTTCAGTAAGGTGAAATTTTAAAGTGAAACACTAAATCAAATCCAAATGAAAGAATTTATTTTGTGGTTTCAACACAAAAGTGAAATGTCTCCAAATGATCTTCATAAAGTCAGAGAGATCAGTCACCGTGTTGTGCAACGATATTCTTGAGTGTTTGTCAATCGTGTCAGTTCTCAAGTCAGCCTTAAACTTTCATAATCACAGTTTCTTAATGTGGTAAGAACCTTATGGCTCCAGCTTTTTAGTTTTCTGATCACTAAACCTCATTTTCAGTTTTACAGCCGTGAGCAGCATGTGTGAGATCTGCCACTGAAATTAAAACTTTGCGGTTATAGTGGACGCCCTGGACCACTTTCTCTGAAATGTGATTCTGTGCTGTTCCCTGGTAATAACGTCAGAGACGGGAATGATGTCAGAGTGGAAGAACTTCATTTACCACGAGCCCACATCGAACACACGCTCTCGCTGGCAAGTAAGGATGTGGTTCTGAAATTAATACAAATAAGAAATAACATAAACATCTCTCACTTCAGCATTACAGAGAACACCTTACCAGATTACAAATGGACAGAACCAGATACCAGAAAAAGAGCTTAGCATAAACACAGAATCATAATCAATTTAGGCCAATTCCTTCATTTGTGAGTCAACACCACCCTCCAGTGGACACAATTGCTCACTCAAAGGCCGCCATGTTTACGCAGGCTTTAAAAACAAGAACAGATTCGTATGCTAGCATAGTAACTCCATCAGGTAAAATCTTTGTGAATATTAACTCTCCACAATAACTGAAACAACTTAGAAATGAGGAATATCCTGTGGAGCCAGGCTACTACTTACTTTATTCCTACAGCATAGCTGCTAACACACAAGGTAATAGTAACAGGTGTCTACATTGGTACATTAACTGCAACAGAAATAAAATATGTTCCCAATGTGACTTACTGCTTCTATGAACGCACACTTGCCCGCAAGGCTAGACTGGGTCAAAAAATCAGCCCGGGCATTTTGACTAGAGACCGGCCCACCAGGTATTATAGGAAAAGCCATAAATACTCTGAATGAAAGCAAACGCTGTTGTCACAGTGATGTACGCTGTCTTGTTGGCATATATGTATCAATCTAATAAACTTAAAGTTTATTAGATTGATAAAAATTCCAGCCTTTTTCCGTCCACTGCTGTTACCTGAGCATCATCAGTTGGCTTGTTTGAGGTGAGCATAATGAAAACATGGTGCTTCTGTCTCATGTGTTCAGTAACTTCCTGTATTAATATGAGGACGTTAAGACTAAGGTTCTGTTCAGTTTTCTGCTTGCAGAGCTGATACAACTCCTTTAATCATCGACCTTCAAACAAATCTGTTTTGACCTTTAACATAACCCTGTGTGGAGGTTTGAATTCATGTTTATCCACTGAGCATTTTTTTTAATCTAATGCCACCAATATGCAAACCACAGACTGGATCTGCAGCCAGATCTATTACCGATCACTCTGCGGACCTTTTCTCATACATACAGTTCTTATTCTCATATATTTTAATCTGGCCGAAAACACAGATCACTTGCGTGCATTATAAGTCATCCCACACGATGCTGCTCACCCAATCAAATTATCTACGCAGAGCATGTGTGAGAACAGAAACCGCGAAAGTTCAAAGAAGGCGGGGAAACAGTGCAAAGGGCTGAAGCTCAGATGTTCACTATGGGAAATGAAGTTAAAGAGGAAAAGGAGAAACTCAAACTACACATTTTTAAAAGCTCATTTTTTTTAGTTAATAAAAAAATTTTGCTATTTAACTCAGCAACTTGAAATGTATCCCGAGTTCAACTCTTTTCAGCTTCAAGGCCAGCGGCACATCTTCAGTAATCATTTTATCATTAAAACTGTGCCTTTTTAATCCTGAGGTCTGGATCATCATTGGTGATGATTTCTGACCCAGAATCAGTCATTTCTGTTTCATGGAAAATCTCCTTTACTTCATGGTTGCTTTTTTTGTAAGATCCCAACAAAGTCTAAACCTATTTTTAACATTTAAAAAAAAATCCAATTTTAAAGTTTAATGATATCTAGACAACTGGCAAAGTTGTGTTAGACTTTTCTTCAGACAACTTGTTGAGTGCTTTTTCTTTTTCAATTTTTTCCCCTCTAAATACTGTAAAATTGCTCAACCGAAACAGAGAATTTCTTTTAGTTTGGATTACTTGATAAATGTACTAAAATGATGTTGCAAGAAAGTAAATATCATTGTTTAAAGTTTCTTTAAAAAAAAGAAACTTTAACATTTCAGACCAGTAGCTTCC